GGCCTCTTCCCACCTTGTTGATTCTATGATTCTATGTTGAATCTTATCTGTTTCAGAAGTTTCTCTATTCTTGTCTCTTTTTTCAAATTGTATTTTATAATTGTGTGTTCTGGCATGGTCTTTAATTTCTTCTAGTACTCCTTCCATCCCTGAAAAACCCATGAGTCTTTCTGGCACCCATCCTTTTCCTCTGTCTGTGAACAAAAAACTTGTTTAATTTTTACAAGCATTACAGCAGTGGAAAAGCTAACTGAACTACAGTGACGTGATACATTTCACTCTGCATCTTCAGTCATGTTTGCTCTGAGTGTTCTGCTTGAACTCACTACATTAGTATTTCTGCTAATCTTTTAATATCAGGTATTACTCAGGCAGTGTCCAGAGTTTTGACTGAAACAGAGCTGTGCTGGTTGAACACCTTAGATGGTTCATGTAAATAACTTCAGGCTTGTCATCCTCCTGAACCTGTTAACAGTATTTTCATGGGGAATATCACTCTCATGTATAGATGTTTTAATAAAGTCAAATAGTGTAGCCTGGACAACTGTCATCCAGTGAGGAAAAGGATGTGGTTTTTTCATCACTGACTGGGAAAATAAAAGTTCAGTTAAATATGTTTTTATATTTTGAAATACCAAATCCCCTTCAAATCTAATCTTTTGTTTTATTGGTCAAATTTTGTAGCTCCTAGTTTGAATCTTGAACTGTTTTACTAGGTGTAAGTTTCTGGCAATCATAAAACCATAGAATTTTAGGGGTTGGAATGGACCTTACAGATCATCCAGTCCCAACCCCTGCCCTGGGCAGGGACACCTCCCACCAGAGCAGGTTGCTCAAGGCTCATCCAACCTGGCTGTGAACACTGCCAGGGTTGGGGCAGCCACAGCCTCCCTGGGCAACCTGGGACAGTGTCTCAACACCCTCACAGGGAAAAACTTCTTCCTGATATCTAACTTGAATTTGCCTTCCTTCAATTTGTACCCATTGCCCCTTGTCCTGTCACTGTAGCTTTTAACAAAGAGTCCCTCTCCAGCTTCCCTGTAAGCTGAAATGAGAAAATTTGCATGTACCTAACTTATGCTCAACTCTGACTTCAAGGAGTCTTTGCAGACTAGAAAACTTGCATTTGATCCATGGAACTTGCATTTCTAACCCCCTTCGTTTCGTTATACTGTTCTGCAGATCTTGTTCACTTGCTTCTCCTTGTGGTGCTAAGGTATTTGTTTTCTTTTTGTAATTTTGTCGGGTTCCTAATCGAGGTGGCATTAATAACACTTTTTGCCCCTCATTTCTGATACAAATTGTGTCTAATTTCTAACACCTCCACTAAGATCTTGAATGGCAAGCACCAGGCTCTTTATAAATGAAATGATTAATAGCTTTCAGTGTAGAAGCCAAACCCCTTGACTTAGGTGTGGCTGCAGTAGAAGCATCTCCTCTGCATGGAATGTTCCAACCTGACCAGTGTTTGGGATGTTTGTGTGTGTTTTCATGGCAAGGCCCCAGCCCACTGAAAAATCTGCCATGAGATGACTCACAGTATTATGACAGAAAGTAGAGTCATTGTATGTTACTTAAAGTGCAGTTAGCTTAATTTGTTCTTAATTATGCATAAAACCATTTTATAGTGCTATGCAAATTGTTAGAAAATATAATACATGGCAAATCGCTTCTACAAAACTCAGCTATTTTTCTCTATAGCCTTATGTGTTTGCCATGATGGGTGATCATAGAATCAACCTGGTTGGAAGAGACCTCAAAGATGATCAAGTCCAACCCTACTGTGGTCACTAGACCATGGCACTAAGTGCCACATCCAGTCTCAGCTTGAAAACCTCCAGGGATGGGGAATCCACCACCTCCCTGGGCAGCACATTCCAATGCCTGAGCACTCTCTCTGAAAAAAATCTCTTCCTAAGATCCAACCTAACCCTCCCCTGGCAGATGCTTTTAAATCTAGTGTTTGCTTTAGCTAAGACAATTAAATAAACGTGTATTAGAAGGATACTCATTGCAACTGCAGTTTCAACAGTTGGAAGTATTGCAGAATTCCTATATACCCAGTTAGTGAACTGGTATCTCTGCAAGCTGACAGCAGAGAAAAAGGATGAAACAATGTGCCAGCCAGTGATTTGCTGAGCCATGTTTTCTGGATGCATTTTCCTCAGGCTAAAATAGTCTTTTCCTAAACTCTGTCAGCTGAACTCCTTTTCCTAGGGCTTTGCAGTGGATCCCTCTATGTTTGGGAAGAGCAGAGGGTGACCTGCAGAAGGGGAAGCCCCAAGCCCCAGGCAACATGCACTTGCTGTGGCCAGTACCAGGTGCTTTTGCATTCAAGTCATACTATTTGTCTTTTCCCTTTCACAAACTGTCACTGGGCTTGTTCTCAGCTGGGGAACCTTCTGTCTGCTTCAACAAACCAAAGGCAAGCACTATCAAGACAGGCACAAACGCTGTCTTCTGTAGTATTTTCTTGGAGATCAAGGCTTTAGATAAATATAGAACAGTTAATCTAGGTCAGTATGCTATGTGCTAAGTGTATAATTAACTGCAAATAGCAGCATTCATTGCAATTTTCCCTCCTTCTTGAAGGAGAACTGGAATAACCCTGTGCTGGTAGGAGTTGCTGGGATGGGAAAGTGTGGAGGCATCTCACAGAGTAGGCTCTTCTTCCACAGCACCAGTGTAAAATGATATATTCTGCAATACCAGTTGTTTTTGTTGATTTTTAAAATCCGTATCGCAGTGAGAAAAGTGTTACTTCTTCCTCTAAATGAAAGCTTTATTCCAAGGAGATTATTGTGTCAGTGTCTCTGCAGCTTGCAGCTCATTTTCTGGGAATAGTCAAAGCTCTTACAACTTGTCCTTTCATGTTCTGAGAGTTGGCAATGGAACAGGCAGCATAAGTGATTATTCTTCTTTTTATCAAGTGTGAAACAAATGTATGGAGGGAAAAAAAATAACCAAAGCAACGCTTACAGAAACCTCATTCTTTTGTCCAAACTGTGCTGTTAAAGTAATCATCATTGCTCATGCCATCTCCATTGTTGTGGCTGAAACAGGAGACTGGAGTGTTTCAGTTTTCTTTTCTAGTATTGTCTTTCATTTTTCATGGACTTTCTGTGCTGCTAAGAGCAACGGCTGATATTGGTTTCGTGGCATTGTTTTCCTTGCACTGGAACTGAGAGAAGAATAGCATGAGCTTGGTCCTGCTCCCACTAAGCATATTGGAAGTGGAAAGTCCCACTGCATTAGAAGGATGATATTGCACCACTTATGTTTTACTATTAATTAAATGTTCTTTCAAGACATAATGGGTGCAGTGTTATCTGTCTTTGTGGACTTGTCTTCAAAAGAGGACAAGGAACCCAGTGATTCTAAATGGCTGAGAAGAAACAGATTTTTATTTGCAGTGGCCTTGCAGTTAGTTCAAAGCGAAGCTTGTACTGAGTTTCCCAAAGCTAACATCATTTTATTATCAAGGGAATTTGGGGTGTTGCCAGATGAAATGTTATCATTCATTGTAAACAATGTGATATTGAACAGTTTTATTTCTATCTGTTGCAATTATTTCAAAGCCTCTGCTAGGTTAAAACTAAGAAAATAGTTTCTCTAGAAACAAAAAATGAGAAAATTTAATGACTGAATTGTTCCCTAAAAGTTACATGCTGTATATTTTTCTTTTGGTCTTTTGTTTTAGGGTTTTTTTTTTCATGGTGAGTCTAGTTTTCAGTAGCAAAGGTTTCTGACCCTTGTGGCTCTTGTTAGCCTCTGTGGGATGAGTTTTTGCTCAGTGTCTTTGAAAATTCCTTTTTGCTTTTTGGTCTTACGGCTAAGAGGTGCTGAAAGAGGCAGAGTAACACAGCACTGATATCTACAAGATCTAAAAGCCAAGCCCCACAGAGCAAACTTAAAGGGCAATATTAGTTTTAAGTTTTTTACAGTAATATGAAACACCAGTGATGTTGGTACAGGGTAATACTTATGGGCCTTAAAAATGTTTATAGGTAAGATTGGCTTAAGACAAGTATTCCATTAAACCAAGCATATTGTGGCTGGCAAGGAAGTTTAGCAGGATGAAGGTGTGAAGTATAAGTGCATGGGGTTGAGTTTCCTGTAATAAGGATAAAGCAGGATGAAGGTGTGAAGTGTAAGTGCATGGGGTTGAGTTTCCTGTAAGAGAACTAGCAGCAAGGTTTATCTGAAAGCAGAGCTGCAATGCCATTTGAAGAAGACTTTAAAGCTCAGCAGG